AGAGTGGTCTTTAATATGGACATTTTCGAATTTCCTTGCTCCTAAAGGCTCAAATGGTACCAAATTTATAAAAAACAATTCTCTGAAAGTTTTAGCTCTTAATATTAACTTTTAGATAGTGCGCAATTCAATCAAACTTCGTATGGAAATTGGAAAAATTAAAAAAAAAATTAGGTATAACTTAGGGACAAATGAATTAAAAGTGAATAAATTTGTCATTTTTTATTGAATTGAAATTTATTTTATGCTATTTCCATACAAAACTTTGATTGAATTGCGCTCTATCTAAAAAAAACAATATTAAGAGCTAAAACTTTGAGAGAATTGTTTTTTATTAATTTGGAACCATTTGAGCCCTTGGGAGCAAGGAAATTCAAAAATGTCCATATTAAGGACCAATATATATATATATATATTATATATATATATATATATATATATATATATATATATATATATTAGGAATTAGATACGAATGATTGCTAGCTAACAGTAATTTTGTAAAGCTGTTTACATTTAAATACAAATTTATTCTGCAAAAATCTTATTGCATTTGCACATACAAGACTATGATTTTCATAATATCACAAATTGGAAAGCATAATGTAAAACAAACTAATTATGCTGAATGAAATTTTATTCAACTTGTCCAACTTGGAAGCACTGAAACTACATAAAAACTTTATTAATTTTATCAGAATTTTTAAATGAATGGAGATTTTTCTAATTAGAAGAAGTTAACTTTCTGGCTTACTATGTACGTATCTTATTTCAGCAAAGTAGTGCGGATAAATATTTCATTAATTTTGATTGTTCTCAGATACGAGTAGGATCTGGTCCTTGGGGAACAGTTTGCGGCGACGGTTGGTCCCTGCTGGAAGGTGCCGTCATTTGTAGGCAACTGGGATTCGGATACGCCAACGACGCGTTGCAAACAGATTTTTTTGGAAATGGAAACGGATCGATGTTGCTCAGCGGAATAAAATGCCATGGGAACGAACCAGATATAACGCATTGTCTGCATGACACCATTGGCAACGTCACCTGCCCAGGTAAGTAGATAATAAACAACTTTTGAACAATGGTGATGAAACTAAAATTATTATAAATGATCCGTTGCGTTCTTCCGATTTTAAAATTAATACGGTGGCGGAAATAGCTCACTCAGTAGCGTTCTCGATTCACACGCTGGAGAAATTCGGTTTGAATCTCCAGCAATACCAGAAATAAAAATATAAAATATTAAACTAGATTAAGAATCAAGAATTGATAATTTGTAGAATACAAGAAAAAAATTGTATTAGAAGTAAGAGGGAAGAAAGAAGTTTAGTTTAGAAGATGAGAAAAATATTGAGAAGAAAAAGAATGGAAATCAGTAGAGAAAAAATGGAATGGGAGAATTGGATATAAGAAGAGATAGTATATATATATATATATATATATATATATATATATATATATATATATATATATATATATATTGATGAAGAATGTATAAGAAATATAAATGTAACATTTGTATATATTATGAGGAAAAATAATATGAATAATGTAGGTGGCTAAAAATGGTGAAAAGCGGAGGCCAATAAGATTTAAAAAAAATTAATACGAGGAAATAAAAACATTCTTTCTACAACATTTTACAAGAATTAAAATTAACGAATTATAACAGTTTTGGCCATCAAGTGAATAGTGACATTTAACTAGGATTGTCTGTTTTCAGTGACTCGTCAGTGATTTTTCATGATATATAAATTGTGTTTATATTATGTTGCAGTTCAGTAAATTTCACTTGTACTAAAAATTCATGGTCTCTAAGCAGAACCACGTTGCAATAAATTTATTCCACATAAAATCCATCGATTCGCTTGTATTACACTATAAAATGTTCAACTAGTTTTATATAGAAACTTTTCTCCTATTTAAAGGTATATTTATTCATTAAAGAAAGATATTTTGTAAAATTATATGCAAAATTAATTATCAAACTAGTGGGGTACATGGCATCGTGCCTTAAGGCAAATTGCTGAAACTTTCCGTACTATAGTTAAAACTCTTGATACGAAATTCAAAAAAATTGACACAAAATGTGTACACATGATTAAAATCTCTATAATATATCTGATAATTTGATGTGCATATGTCTAAGGATCATTTTTGACCGCCAAAAGGCATTTTTTTAACTTATTTTTATTGAGTCCATAACCTCTAGACCTGCCTTCCCAAAAATATAATCAGTTCTTCACCTTGTCACTACAAGTAAATTGTTTTTTGATTATTAAAATTAGACGCTCCGTTCTCTTAAAGACTGAGTTACCGTTTTTGGCACTTTTTGCCCCGTATCTTCGGAACGGCTAGACCTGCCTGCGCCAAAAACTAATCAGCACGTCTTTTCTTATCCACACGGATCGAATGTTTTTTGAATTATTCAAATCGGTTAATCCGTTTTCCCGAAATCGTCGACAAAAATTTGTATCCGCACACACGCATACACACACGCATACATCCATTTTTTCTAATGTATGCCAAAATATTCAGAAACCTTTGAAACGTCGAGAAATGCAAAAATTTTCATTTTCGATTTTTTTGCGATTACTATAACTTACCCTACGGGAAGTTAAAAATACAAGCAAAATTAGTTATCAAATTCGTACTTGATGTACAGCAATTAGATCGACATTTTCACAGTTTTTACTACCAAGAAACAAGCATAACATCTTCAATTGCCATAACAACGCTATCTTATCGTCTATGTTACTGATATATTGCATATGATATTTCTAAATGTGACTTTTATGATAACAATTACTGAAATCATTCAAATAAATGCCTTATTAGAGCACAACTCGTTTTAATCCAGAGATACGAATATCTGCACCACACTTTGCCTAAATACAGTTTTCATTAGTAGCAATAAAGTTATAAATTTGAAAAATCACTTCAATAATATCTCATGGTTATATTAATAACAATTATTTTTAATCCTTTAATCATAGGATTAAAAGGGCACGTGGCCGGAGTAACATGTACCGACCAACTACCGGATTTAGTAATAGATCACATCGAATTAGAAAGAACGGCCCATTTAGAAGATAAACCCATGTTTTATCTCCAATGTGCGATGGAGGAGAATTGTCTAGGTAGTCAAGCGTATGTAATTCAGAGGCAGAACGACGCTTGGCATTTGGAAACCAGGAGGTTATTGAGATTCACTGCGCGCGTATTAAATGCCGGCACCGCAGATTTCAGACCGTCGATTCCTAAGCACCTATGGGAATGGCACATGTGTCACAGGTGAGATTTAAGCATCATGCACTAACTAGTAGTAATAAGATATCGAGACGAATATCAAATAGATATCAAATAATAAAAGAAAAAAAACATGGTTCTACACAGCAATTATAAGTAGGGGAGAGCAAGGGGCTTGTTGTAACAATTTATTTTTAAATTGATAGATATTGAGATTCACTTATTGTATTGTAAAGCAGAATAGATGCTGTAACTATTCCTCTATCAAATCCAATAAAAACTAGTTGGTATTGGTATTTAGCCTTGAAGCAAGTTACATGAACTTCCCGATATGTGTAAATAATCGACTTAATCAATATAAATTAATTTATGAGTGATTAGAAGTATTCCGAGAGGATTTATTACATATTATTCAAAACGAACGAACAAGTTAACTTGCAGTATTTTCTAAAAGCAAATTCTCACAAATCAATAATTTTTGTAAATTAACTAATTTCCGTAGAACTTTAATGGTTTAGTATGTTCATTAAGATCAAGTACTCTATCGTTATACTAAGTAAATCGTCTAATTTTAAAGTTAACAAACGTCAAAAAAACTACTCATTTTCTCAAACTTTGATGAATTTTTAAAATTTACCTACTTGTCGTAAGACCGTAATATTGCAGTAAGTTCTATAAGACCATGATATACATCGCCAAAAGAAAGTTTCATAAAAATCGGCTTAAATTTTTTTTCAACTGTTAATTACACGAAAACGGCTCGGTAGATTTTCACCTAAAACTAATCAGTATCATTCCCAACTAATATCTTTCGAACAGTTTTTGATTTTTTGAAATCGAATCGGTAGTTTGAGCTCAAATGTGGATGAAAAGTTCAACCCTTTTTTTCAAATTACAAAGAAACGGCTTGGCAGATTGTCGCACAAAACTGACAATCGATAGTACTCATCGAAATACATCAAATGGCTTTTAAATTTCTGAAATCGGTTCAGGCGTTTTTGAGAAAACGTCGATGAAAGGTCTAATTTCGACAAATGCCAAAAAACGATACCAATTTTTGCAAAGTTTGACGAATTTTCAAAATTAAACCAATTGTTGTAGGGCCGTAATATTTTAGTATGATCTAGAAGACTATAGTATCTACCGTCAAAAAAATAATAATAAAAATAAAAAAGTGAAAAAAAATTTTTTAACACTTTATTACGAGAAAACGGCCTGGTCGATCTTTACCAAAAACTAATCAGCACGATTCCCAATCAATATCTTTCGAACGGTTTTTGAATTTTTATAATCGGTTCAGAATTGCGGGCTAAAACGTGGACGAAAAATTTTTCACTTTTCTGCTATTTATAAAGAAACGTCTCGGCCGATCGTCCCACAACAAACAATAGTCCTCGTCGAGATACATCGAATGGCTTTTAAATTTTTGAAATCGGCCCAGCCGTTTTCGAGAAAACGTCGATTTACGGTAAAAAATCTGTTCACATACTTTTTCCAAATTTGGTCTCATTTGATTCAGAATGGCTTGAAACGTCGAGAAAAAATAAAATTAGCGAATCGGATTTTTTGATGAAAACAAACTTCTCCTTCGGGAAGTTAATAATAAGTATATTTTTTCTATCTAGGCATTACCACAGTATGGAAGTTTTCGCAACATTCGACATAATCAATTCCGAAGGCAGGCGAGTTGCAGAAGGACACAAAGCATCATTTTGCCTGGAAGACAATTTATGCATACCAGGAGTGAAACCAAGATACGCCTGCGCAAATTACGGCGATCAAGGTACGTTTGATTATATAATTATTTACTTATCTAAAATGCAAATTTACAAAAGGATTAAACGCTGACCATTTAGAATTCGGGGCATGATCCGGAAGGTACAATAATAGAGAGATGGATTAACTAGATGAGTATTTTCATTTGCATGAAGTCTGAGAGTCGTTCGGGATAATCCTACCATCCGACAATATAAAATAATTCACAAGAAAATGCTTATTATAAGGATTTTTCAGTTATTTCGATAGAAATTTACATAGTAAGAAAATTTTATCTTAATGATTTTGACCTATATCAGTATTGTTAGATTTAAATAAAATATTTAAACTTGGCATTATAGATAAACTTTATATAAAAGCTGTACCTTACAATCTTGAGAAATATCGATTTGAATTTAGTGATAAGAAAACATTATTAATGAACGCATTCATTATACTAAATCGCGTATAATAAGAATGATTTTTTCATATGTTATTGAAAAATATACTTATAAGATTTGCGTGAACGAAATTTAAGTTATTCAAATTTTTAATACCAAAAGCGATACCACAATATGGTTTATCTACCCTGAAAACATCCTATTTCTAACGGTAAATAATACAAATTTTGATAACAAAACATTACATCATAATGTAAATAACGAATCGAATGATTTCACATTTTACTTTATTCGATTGTAGATTCTTAATATAAACACAGTAATAATTATTACTAAAATATAAATTGTGTTCATCTAAAGATCCTAAAGACTGAACGGTGTACTTGGGGTTCAAAACTAATGTTTGATTTCGTTTCAAATTAAATTGATATTGAAGATGAAAAATAGTTATTTTACGATACCCCCCAGTGGGTCAATAACCTACGTATGAAAAAACTTTTTTCGGATGCCCCATATCATTTTATATTTCAAATTATTAGAGCGTTCGTTAACTTCTTTAATAAATCAAAATAAATTTTTAAAACTCACTTATTATCTGTGAGGACTAAATCTGAGCAAAAGGGCACAATTACAAGAACCAAAAAGATGATTAAAAACAATAATATAAGAAACTGATATACAAAAATAATATTTCTCATATAATTCTTTTTTAAAATCTGTCTGATGTTTGGTTTTTAATGCTGCAACGTTTTGCAAGAGAAAGGACAATCTTCATGTCCAATGGTACCCTCGCCATATCATGTTTTAGAGGAAGAAAGAAATTATTGTCCAGGTCTTTTGTCAATTTTGTGATTACATTTCGATTTCCTCTTACAATTTCGCATCATTTAAAAAAATATTGTTAAGTGGAATTCATTGTAGCACGGTGCTCCGTAATATTGTGCCCCACGTGAGACAAATCGATCAATATTAATCATTGTAGTTAAGTTAACAAAAAAATACTTAACGATAATTTTAATCTAAATATGCATGCAAAATAGAAAAATCGCAATGACTTACCTGTATATTATCGGCCGCTCGCAAAGATCAAAACCATCCTCAAATACTCATTCAATTGTCATCAAAAAGTCATCTCCTTCTAATTTCATGCCCTTTTCAAACCGGTACAGTAGTTTTACACATTCAATTCATTAATCTGGCACTACTTAATTATGTAGTTTAACACCAAGAAATAAAATAAAGTTTTAGTTTATTTCTACTACTAACAAATTTTATTGACCACACGTGTTCGATTGTTTGTTAGTTCTGAGCCATAGATAAACAAGTATATGTTCTGAACCAATGTGCAAATATAGACATTGATGAATCTGAACTTCACTTAACTATAAATTATCACTTTATACTTCAAATTATTAGAGTGCGTTCGTTAACTTCTTTAATAAATCAAAATAAATTTATAAAACTCACTTATTTTTTTTTAGGAATTTCTGTAAACTGTTCCGATATCTACCGCTACAATATAGACTGCCAATGGGTTGATATTTCTGAACTAAAGCCAGGAATTTACAGAATGAAAGTATCAGTGAATCCAGAATTTAAAGTAGCCGAAATTACTTTCGATAACAATGCCGCCGTTTGTGAACTAATATACACCGAAACTTACGCAAGATTATTCAATTGCAGAGTAGAAAGACCTTAGAAAAAGTAGTATTAAATAATTTCTTACAAAATAATAATTTCCTTATTATCTCCACAAATTTTAAATGATAATAAGGATATGAAACCAACATTAAATTATTATTTTAATGTTTTTTTCTCATTCATTCATTCACTTCAAATATATGTTATTCATACATTGTTAAATTACTTTTAAATAATTTAGATGAATGCTACATCTCTGCATTTATCTATATTAATAAAAAATAATTGATAATCCTCCACAAATAATAATCTTGTTATAAGTTATGCAGAACTACAATTCATGTTCATTCAAAAATCTATTTGTAAGTGTTGTAAAAAGTGCAAATAAAATTTAGAAAAAAAATAGTATTAAATAATATGTGTAAAATAAAATAATTAGAATTTAAGTTATCATAATGTATAAATAAGATTTTATTTTGGCATAATAAAAATGTACTTATGTTATAAATTAATTTCATTTAACTTGCACTTATTATAACATATTATTTTACTATATATTACTAATTATTTATTTACAGATTCAATGATAATTATTTGATTCTATTTGGCTTATTATGAAAAAAGAAAAGAAATACTTCAAAAGCATTATTATGATCTGTCATAATAAGCTAAAAGTATGAGTAAGGCTCGAATTATGGATAAAACAATTTTCTTTGAATTGAATAAAATAAAGTTGTCAGTATTCTGGCATTGATAATTATGTACGAATATGAACACATGAGTATTGAAATTCTTAGTGCTATCATACAATATATTAATCAGCCATACAATCATTAATGCAATTATTACAAAGCGTATGAGATCTATGATTGAACATAAAATGCCAGTACAAAAATAAATAATGATAAAAACTGTATTTTTGACTGCCATTTTATGTTTAAATTAAATATTATTTATTTCTTTCATGATTTGTTATATTAAAAATAATCATAATCCACAATTATATTCATAATATTCAATTTCTCTACTTGTCGATTTGAAACTTATATACATACATCAATAAATATCTACATATTGCGTAGCTGTTACAATAATTATCTAATTTATACACTATCTAGTTAAAATCTGATTTTTTTTTAGTTATCATTATGAAGGTTTATAAGAAAATATTTTTAAATATTTTCCCCGAGTCATTTCTCTTGCTTCCTCAACGCCTAGTTGGTAGGCTAAATCATGCAGTGTTTTTATTTCTGAAATTAAACCTCTAGTCGAGTGTGTTGCAAGCCCTAAAACATAATTTGATAAAATTGAGGTTTCAATGTAATTCGTAACCACAAAACCACTTACTGTGCATTAAATCGATATCTTCAGAGGTTAAGGGACTCAGCCAAACTGGTAATGTGCTATTATTTGAGTGAGATGACATATGAGCTGATACATATTCGGTGACTCCGGGGACTAAAATACAAAGAATCGTATAAAATCACTTTTGAGTAATGAGTATGAATATATGTTTTGGTTACTTTGCTCTGGCCATAATTCGGGAGAAGATCTGTCCATTTTCTCCATGCTCATGAGGCTTTCGTTTAAAATAGGTTCATCATCTTTTGAAGCATCCTCCTTCTCATTCAACTGCTTTTGTCCTTGCTCTAATTCTTCTACTTCTACATCTTCTGCATCTTCAACTTCTTCTACTTCTTCTACATCCTCTATTTCTTCTTCCTCCCCTTCTGTGTAAATAAATAAGGAAAAATTATAAAATACGAACTTGAACTGGAAGAAATGTAAACTGTATATAAGCCTTTACGTGATTCTTCTTGCGATGCAGGCGGTTCAGAATCTGACATTTTAAGACCTCAACGGCTTTGCAAGGAACTTAATATAGGTTCGGATTTAAATTAAGAAGTTCTTATATTTATTATAAGTAGGTAACTGCACAAATGATCAATAATTAAGGACGGATTTAGTTAATTTTTTAGATATAAACACACATTTAAAATCAAACACAGCCGGTATATTTTATAGTCCACTTGTCAACAACGTACATGTATGAAGTTATAAGCAAATTTTCAAAACTTCGATCAGAGCACCAACATTGTAAAGTGCTTTCATTACCATTTTATATGATAAATTTATAAAATATGATGAATATTTAATGAAATATGATTTCAATGTAATGGAAATATTTTAGATTTTAAATATAATTACTCTCATATTGTTGATCATCGTTTTATTCTGTATTTTATTTCCCTTATGTTGATTTACCTGCAAACTCTATCATTAAGTATTGCACACTTCAGTTGCGTGACTGTTTGATTTTTATTCAACTTGTCGGTGTCATTATATGTTTGTTTTTAAGAATATTTAAGTACTTTAATAAATAGATTTAAAAAATGTCGGCACGTTACGATAGAGCTATCACTGTTTTCTCTCCAGACGGTCATTTGCTACAAGTTGAATATGCACAAGAAGCCGTCAGCAAAGGCTCAACTGCTGTATGTAAAATGCTAATCATTGTATATTAATCATAATTACTGAAGTTTAATAAGCTAGGAAAATAACAGATTTAAAATATTGCTTTGAGTTCTTGTTGTTCAGTAATAAATTATATTCATTAAATATTTTATTATTATGGTTAGGTTGGAGTTCGAGGCCAGGATGTTGTTGTCTTGGGTGTAGAAAAAAAATCAGTAGCAATGCTGCAAGAGGAACGAACTGTACGCAAAATATGTTTACTCGATGACCATGTAGTTATTGCATTTGCTGGGTTGACGGCTGATGCTCGTATCTTAATTAACAGAGCTCAGATGGAATGTCAGTCGCACAAACTAACAGTAGAAGATCCTGTCACATTAGAGTATATTACACGTTATATTGCTGGTTTAATGCAAAAATATACACAAAGCAATGGCCGAAGACCTTTTGGTATATCTTGTCTTCTTGGAGGTTTTGATTATGATGGACAACCTCATTTATATCAAACTGAGCCTTCTGGAATATATTATGAATGGAATGCTAATGCAACTGGTCGAAGTGCTAAAACAGTTAGAGAGTTTCTAGAGAAATACTACACTCCAGAAGCAGTAAGTTATGATGCATATATTTCACATTTACATTAAATTTTCATATATTGATCAATAATATTTGTCTAGGTTGTTTTCTATAATGAAACAGATTTAATTTTATTTATGAATTTGCTGTTCAATATTTTGAGAATATGCTGAATCATTTGCATTTTATGTTTATCTTTTATTTTTTGCATCAGGTGGCAACTGAACATGATACTGTTAAATTAGCAATAAGAGCACTCTTGGAAGTAGTTCAGTCCGGCAAAAAGAACTTAGAAATTGCTGTCATGCGCAAAGGTCAGCCTATGGAAATGCTATCAAGTAGCAGCATTGAAAAATATGTTGGAATCATTGAAAAGGAGAAGGAACAAGAAGCTGAAAAGAAAAAACAGAAAAAGTAATTTAATTGGAACTATTAATATTTTTTTAATTCAATAAATAAATTAAAATATTTTTTTTTTTTTCATTGAGAGAAACTTTCATTTTGATAATTAAATTTATTATATATTTTCATTTAAAAATATAGACTATGATACACTCACCAAATTATGTTAAGTCATGGACAATCATTATCTATCACATATATACTCTTATTTATATACAAAATACAAACAGCTTAAATTTTTCATAAATATCATTCATAATTAACAACTATTTAACTATTCCTAACTAAATAATATTTCACATCATTTATACACTCATTCAATTGTCATCAAAAGGTCATCTCCTTCCAATTTCATGCCCTTTTCAATTTCTATTTCCTTAATTTTTCCAGCAATTGGGGCTTGTACTATCATTTCCATTTTCATAGCTGATAAAACAACTAATGGCGCACCTTTTTCCACAGTATCTCCAACTTGAACTCGAATATCTGTTAAAAATTTAGAGTAAAATTTTATTATCTATTCGGCTTAGGTGATCTAAAATCTGTGGTTAAAGGATTTACCAATTACAGCACCAGGCATTGGAGCACCAACTTGGTTTTTGTTTCCTTTTGCTGCTTTGGGATGCACATGCATTACCTGTTTATAAAATTACATTATTTAATATAAGATATGTCATAATCAAGATAGCATATATTGCGAGTGCATAGCTTGGGGCATTTATTAATTACCTTGACAGCTTCTTTATCTCTAATGAGGACTGATCTCATTTGACCATTCATTTCAAAGAATACTTCTCGTTCTCCACTTGGAGTTAAATCTTCTGCCATAGCTAATGTTTTAATTCCTAAAGTCTTTCCCTTTTCAATTTGAACATCAAACTCCTCACCAACCTGCATAATCATTTATTTGCAGCTTATAATTGATAAAAATGTATTAAATGTAATTTGTATTTTACTGAATTTACCTTTGGGCCTGTTAAAAATATTCTTGTATCTAATTTATCGACGGACCCATACTCATCTCTGAATTGTAAGAAATCGTTGGTGACTTCTGGATACAGGGCTGCTGACATAACATCACGATCAGTAACCTGTAATATTTTATTAAATGATTAGTTTACTGATTCAACAATAAAAAGCAATTTATTTTCTTACATCAGGAAAACTCTCTTGTAAATCAGTCTTCAATTTCTTAAAATCAAAATCTGGTAAAAATTCACCAGGACGTCCTTCAACTCTTGGCATGTCCTTCAGGACTCGAGATCTATTAAGAAAATACTTATTAGCAATATTGTATTAATAAAGAAATTATGTTTCGTTTCGTGTGATGTACCTAAATGGCTCAGGGAAACCTCCATGAGGGGTACCAATGGATCCTTGCAAGAATTCAACCACTGATTTAGGGAATGATAGATCTTCTGCTTTTTCCATTACTTGTTGAGCATTCAATTTATTCTGTACCATGAATTGAGCTAAGTCACCAACAACTTTAGATGAAGGTGTTACCTTAATTATGTCTCCTAGAAGAAGATTAGCTTCTCTGAAAAGATAATGAAAAATGTTAAACGTTTTATATTTTATCTTCAATTAAAATGAAAAGTTTAACAAACCTGTATGCTTTTTTCACATCTTCAAAGAATTCACCTAAACCTAATGAATATGCTTGGAACTGTAAGTTTGTATATTGACCTCCAGGAATTTCATTCAAATATACGTCAGCATTTCCACTTTTCATTGTCGTGGTGCATTCGAAAGGCGCATATAACGTCCGCGTCTGCTCCCAATATGCAGAATACCCAGATATATCATTTAGTTGTAGTCCTTTAAATATAAATTGATTAAAGGTAACAATAATCAATGAAAGTCTTCCACAAAATGTTAAAACCCTTTTTGCAAAATAAACAGTGTCTTTGTTAAGTTACAATCACAAGTTTAAGAAATAATTTGAAAAAGAATTCTTATTTTTAACTCATATTTTAAGAAAAAACAGTTTATCATTAATTGTTTTGCAAACATTAAAGAAAAATAGTTCAACTAGACGCACTGAACTGTTTCAAAATCAAATGTTACCTGTATCCAATTTGGTTCCTTGTAAACTGGCTACAACTGCACCCATACTCGGTTGACTAGTCATACCAGACATGCTGTCGACAGCTACATCAACTACATCAGCACCTGCTTCTGCGCAAGCCAACATGGAAGCGACTCCTGCTCCAGAAGTATCGTGGGTATGAATGTGAATTGGAACATGGGGATGCTTGTCTCGAATAGCTGTTATTAACATCCTATTGAAACAAAGAAGTTTATTTATGTGGAACAGTTCATATTATAAATAAAAAAATATTTATCTTACTTAGCAGCTTTTGGTTTCAAAAGTCCGGCCATATCCTTAATAGCTAAGACGTGCGTACCTAGAAATAATAACAACATAAAATCGCAAGAGTACAAATAAAACCATGATCGTTTCAATTAAACTAATCATTTTCTCACCAGCCTTGACGAGTTCGTCAGCTAAATCTGTGTAATATTTCAAATTGTACTTCGTTCTGGTGGGGTCACTGACATCACCAGTGTAAGAAATAGCCGCCTCGACAACACCTCCAGCTCTACCAGCTGCTTCCATTCCAAGAATTAAATTAGGCAAGTAATTTAGGGAATCGAAAACTCGGAAGATATCCATTCCACATTCCACTGCTAACTCGCAAAATTTGAATACAACGTTATCAGGATAATTTGTGTAACCTACAGCATTGGCGCCTCGAAGCAACATTTGGAATGGGATGTTGGGGATTTGTTTACGCATGTCTTCCAAACGCTCCCAGGGGCATTCGTGTAAGAATCTGGTAAAGGATTAAACATTATTTACACACAAGCATTTCAAGAAGAAATTAGTATAAATTTAGCTCGTCGATTTTCAAATGTACCAGTATTTTTATTACCTAAGGGCTACATCAAAAGTGGCTCCTCCCCAATTTTCTAAGGAATACAAATTATTGAATTTGTGTGCGACAAATGGAGAAATTTTCAAAAGATCGTGAGTTCTAACACGTGTTGCCAGCAAAGATTGGTGAGCGTCACGGAAAGTGGTGTCCATCAACATAAGTCCCTTGTTGGCACGCACCGCCTTCGCAAATGCACTTGGTCCTTCTTTTTTGAGAATTTCTCTCATGCCTTTTGGTGGATCAGTCACTAAATAATACACAAAAGTTAAATTTTTATTGCCCAAATAAAGTTGTGATTAACTCTCAACATGTTATTAGATTGTATAAAATTCTATATAATTTATATACAATGTAAGTAAAGTTTTGCCATTCATATTAAACCATTATTTGTTCCCTTATATATTTTATAGTTATTTCTCACTTTGAAAATAAATTTATTTTCTAGAAATTTCTAATTATTATTTTCTAAGATACATAATTCATCGATTAAGCTGTTTAAGATAGTTCAGAATTAAAGAAAATTATAAAGATATATAATAAAGTTATAAATGGGTAGTACATCTATAGTGCAGTTATTCTAGTAATTAAGTGATAAAGACTAATATAATTATCAAAATATTAATATGTTGATGTCTACAAACTACTATGCAGGAAGTAAAGTAAATTTCTAATAACAAACATGCCCATGTGCATAGTAAGATAATTAAAATAAAGTCTGGCATTCAATTACTACGAGAAAACCTTAAAACTTACTTCAGGCGAATTGAAACATTCCAGATAATAGTTATTCCCAGAACTGTCTAAAATGTGCTATAAAAATATATAAAAAATAACTGATTTGTAAATTGGAAGAATGAAAAAATATACATCCTCACAGAGGTTAGTAAATTTCAAACCAAATATCAATCAGCCTAAAAATCTAATTTATGAAAGTACATTTAGATAACTTTTCAATTAAATTTTAAAATGTTTAATTTATCAATAAGATAAAACTAGTATTTATGAAATTTTGCCACCTGCAATTCATAATTATTTAAACCACGGTGATTTAAACACTTGCTGGTAAGAATATTTGAAGCTTCATCTTCAAAAGTAATGAAATTTCAAAATTTTGTCGAATTTTTTTACAAGTTTTAAATTTAAAAATAAACATTAAAGTGTTTATTGTTAGTAATCATGAAAATTTTAATACCATGCCCTTACAAATTCAACTTTGAATGACCGTTGTTATTATAAAAAAAATGAACCAATAAGTTCATGTGCATGCCCCCTTTTGAAACATTTAAATTTAGAGTTAGTCCATAATATAATAATTTTTTCCCTTACAAATGACATAAATAAAACTAGTACAATACCTGATCCTTCACCAGATTCCTCACGTTCAAGAGCTTCCTTAGATAAATCTGCGAACGAAATCAAGTTTCTATTCTAAATAACACAAAAAACAAGCAACACGATTTTTCTTATTAGTGCGAAGTATTTTGTATGTTTTGGCGTACTTTAATCAAATAATATTATTGCTAATAAAATATGTGTCAGAGATGTGGTGAGAGTAATATATTAATTAAAAGATGTATTAATAAAAATACATCCATCCAAATAAGTTTAGAAATAAAAATTGAAGGCGTAGAAAGTGTATAGGTAAACTATAAAAATTATGTGACTTATATAAAAGCAGATAGGTAAATTAAAAAGTGCGCAAGAAAATAAATTTATAGTGTTAAATATAGATATACATATATACCTATTAAACTTAAGATGTAGTAAATTATTTTATGTATAAAATAAGATGTTTTTCTGCAAGTATAGCATTTCAAAATATTCATTTAAATTAGTTTAGAGTGTATTATAATGTTTATTATTTCTGTTAGTACTTTTTCAACTTTTCACTTCCCAAACGTCCACAAAGACCCTCTCACCAAATCTTGTTATTGCTCACTACGAAAAGTTAATTAAGACACACACAAAAAATGAAATCTTGAAAAAAAATTATGCATGCCATAAATAAATGTGCTAGCTCTTACTCAATGGGAATTCTGGAACATGCGGTTTTATTTCTGCCGGTTTCAGTTTTGTAGCT